ACCACTGGTTTGGTTTCATTTTGAGATATATGATTTTGCTTCGTTGCCCAGACTGACTGGAAATTGATCTTCCTGTCCCAGCCCCCTGCATGTTGGGATTCCAGGCATGTGTCATATTCTCATGAACTCTAATGGAGATAGGAGAGTCTCATTCTGTATATGTCACTTTTCTGTTGCTCTGATAAAAACACCATGATGAAAAGTAACATATGTAGAATTCATATGAATTTGTGGTTCCAAAGGGATAAAAGTTCATCATGGCAGAAAGGCATTGCAGCAGGAGAAGGAAGGCGAGAGAGCACAGCTTCCACTGCAAACAGGAAGCAGGGAGAGCAACCTGGCAGTGAGTCAAGGCTATGAGTCCTTAAATCCCACCCCAGTGATGGATTTCCTACAGCAAGGCTGCACCTCCCCATATCACCCCCAAACAGCATACCAACTGGGGACAACCTGTTTAAATATCTGAGCCTGTGGGGGACATTCTCATTCAAACCCTATACAACTTTTGTCCAGTTAGCAAAAATCCCAGCCTTTGATTTCTCACTGCTCCTGTTTTAGGATATGGAGAATAACATCTTTAATGGCAGTTCCCAAGTATGTGAGATTCTTGCTAAGTATTTTGCTAAATTGCAGCAAGGCTACATTGTTGTTACAGTCTCCGATAGACTGGAGAGCTTGTAAGTATCCTTTTATCCAATGGGAGCATTTATATGGTGTTGATACTACGTCTATTGCAATCAAATGACTGTAAAGATTCAAATCCTCCTATAGCAGTGACAATCGGATATCCTTAAGATGTCCCTGTGAGAGCTTTGTGAACTCAATTTATTTTCTTTTTCTGTGTGTGTGTGTGTGTGTGTGTAAAAATGTTCCCCTGTGTGTGTGTGAAAACGTTCCTCTGTGTGTGTGTGCACATGTGTGAACATGACTGTAGAAGTCAGAAGTCAGTAATGTGTGTTTTCCTCTATTTTAACATTTGTGAAAATTTTTAAATTTTATTTTATGTTAATTATGTGTGTGTGATAGGGAGGGGTAGCCAAGGGCAAATGTGAGTGCAGTGTTGACAGAGGCCAGATGAGGGCGTCAGATCTCCTCAAGTTGGAGTTGCAGGTGATTGTGAGCTACCCATTGTGTTTGCTAGGGGGCTGAACTTGAGTCCTCTGATAGAGCAGTAATTACTCTTGAGCACTGAGCCAGCTCTCCAGCCCTCTACTTTATTTAAAAAATTTTAACCTATACTTGTTTACTTACTGTGTGCATGCTAGACACCATCATGACGATGACAATGATGATGGTAATGATGATGATTTTATGAACTTGTAGCTCCACTACTGTGCTAGACTGGCTGATTGAGAAGCCCCAGAGACCCTCCTGTCTCTACCTCCTCAGAGATGATATTACTAGATTACTGCTGTGCTTAAATATTTTTTTATTTTCTGTCTGTTTTTAAGAGGAGTAGGCAATCCAGGCTCAGTTCCTCATGCTTGCAAGACAAGCACTTCACTGACTGAGCCATCGTCCCAGCCCCTCTTGATTTATTTTCTATGAAGATTTGTGTTCAGCCTTAGAGGAGGAAGATTTTGTTAGAATGTGGGTTGGGCACCCATGGTGACAATCTGTGAAGTACCAGTTGATACATTCGAATCTGACAGCCACCTTCGATTTCTCCAGGAAGGAACTGGCTGAGGGATGCCCCATACCTCCCATGAAAGATATGATCTCAGTTTCTGACAGAAAATTAATAAGGTAAGTTACACTTTTTTCTTTTGTATTACTTATTTATTTATTTTATATTCCATCACAGTTTCCCCTCCCTCCTCTCCTTGAAATACCTCTCCCCATACCCCTGTTGCTCACATCCACCAACCCACTCCTGCATTCCTGTTCAGGAAAGGTAAGGTCTCCCATGGATATCAATAAATTATGGCACATCAAGCTGTAGTAGGACAAAGCATCTCCCCTGTATTAAGGCTGGGTAGGGTGACCCAGTATGAAGAATAGGGTCCCAAAATCTGCTAAAAGAGTCCGACAGCCCCTGCTCCCACTGTGAAGAGTCCCACAAGATGGCCAAGCTACACAACTCTAACATATATTCAGAGAGGCTAGGTCAGCCCCATGCAGGCTCCCAGGTTGTCAGTTCAGTCTTTACAAGCCCCTATGAGACAAGATTTGTTTATTCTGTGGACTTTCTTGTGGTGTCCTTGCATACTTTGACTCGGTTCCTATAATCTTTTCTCCCTCTCTTCTGTAGAATTCCCCGAGCTCTGCCTGACAAATTCCTGTGGGTCTGCATCTGTATCCCTCGTACACGGATGAAAGCTAGGTACCGATCTATGATTATAGCAGGTACCAATCTGTGATTACATCAGAATGACGCTAGGTACTAATTTATGATTACATCACAATATCATTGGGCATCATTATATTGGCTTTTTTTCCTCCAGTTGTGTTTGGTTCTATCCTAGGTCTCTGGGTTATCCAGCCTGTGGGTCCTGGTGCTTCAGGTAGTATCAGGGGTAGGCTTAACCTCCTGGCATGGGTTTTAGGCATTGGTTGGCCACTCCTACAATCTATAGGCCACGCTTACCTCAGCACATGCAACAGGCAGGGCAGACTGCAGGTCAAAGATTATGTGGCTCAGTCGGTTTCCCATTCCCTCTACTTGTAGTCTTGCCTGGTCACAGGATACGGCCAGGCGATGTATCCATGACTACTATTAGTCTTAGTTGGGATCATCCTTGTAGATTCCTGGGGGATTCCCTTGCACCGAGCATTTATCTGACCTTGAAATGCCCCCTATTTCCAGTAGTCTCCATACCTGCAATCTGATCATTCATGTTCCCATTCCCACCTGCCTGCAGTCAACTCATGAAATCTCTTCTATTTTCCCTTCCCTGGGAGATCCACGCATCCCCCCACTTAAATAATCCTTGTTACCTTGACTCTCTGAGTCTGTGGACTGTAGCATACTTATCCTTTATATTACAGTTTTATCCACTTCTGCGTGAGAACATACCATGTTTGTCATTGTAGGTATGGATTATATCACTAAGGAATATTTTATGTAGTTCCATCCATTTGCCTTCAAATCTCATGATGTCATGCTTTTAATAGCTGAGAAGAGTCAGTTGTGTATATGTACCACATTTTCTTTGTCCATTCCTCAGTTGAGGGACATCTAGGTTGTTTGCTAGATGTGGTATTTACCCAAGAGTAGTATAGCTGGGTCTTGTGGTAGAATGATCCCAGTTTCCTGAGAAACTACAATATTGAATTCCAAATGCCTGTACAAGTCTGCCCTCTCATGAGCAATAGAGGTGTGTTCCTCTTGCTCCAAATCCTTGCCAGCATAAGCTGTCATCACTTGTATTTTTTCCTTATCTTAAACATTATGTCAGGTGTAAAGTATAATCTCAGGGCTGTTTGATGGCTAAAGATGTTGAAATTTCACATTTTAAAAAAGTTTTTTGTTTGTTTGATTTTTTGTTTGTTTGTCCGGTGGTGGTGGCACACGCCTTTAATCCTGGCACTCGGGAGGCAGAGGCAGGTGGATCTCTGTGAGTTCTTGACGAGCCTGGTCTACAAAGCTAGTTCCAGGACAGCCTCCAAAGCCACAGAGAAACCTTGTCTCGAAAAAAAAGTTTTCTTTTAAAATTATTTTATGCATGTGGGTGTTGTTCCTGTATGTATGTCTAAGATAATGTCTGAATATCTGGAATTGGAGTTACAGACAGCAGTGAGCTGCACAGTGCTGGGAATCACTCTGGAACTTAACTAACTTAAGGACCTCAGCTCTCAACTGTGGAGCCTTCTCTCCAGCCCCAACTTTCACTTCTTTGCCCTCATTGCCCTCTTTTCTAATCTGGATCCACCTCATACTTTCCATTTCTGTTTTCTTTGAGATAAAGGCTTGCTTTGTATCCCAGGCTGGACTCAAACATTAGGAACACTTTTGCGTCATTCTTCTAGACGATAGGATATAATCATGTGCCATCACACCCAACACCCAATCATTTAAAGAAAAAACTTCATAGTTTGATTATATTTGAAGTCAACTGCCCCTATCTAACTGATTTCTGCATCATAATCACAAACCAGCCATCTCTGAAGAGGAAGCAGGAAGTTTCTTGGGATCGCAAAGCTCTATGGCACAGGAGAATCATTAGGTGATACCCCCTCTCTCTCTAACATAATTGACAGGCTTTCGTGGAGGAGAGAAGGTTCCAGTCATGTGGCAGGCAGTAGTTGGAGAGTGTTTGTATGTGTGTGCATGTGTCTGTAGGGCCAGAGGAGGGTGTCAGATTCCCTGACGCTGGAGTACAGGCATCTGTGAAGCAACTGATGTGGATGTTGATCCTAATGTGGGTCCTTTGGAAGAGCAGTGTACAATCAACTATTAAGTTATCTCTCCAGCCCCTAAAATTAATTTTTATTACATTCATTCATGAATTATATGTAGTCACACCAGTGCCATGGTGTACTGGTGAAGGCAGAGGACAATTTAAGGGAGTCAGTTGTGTCTTTCTTCCATATGGTCCTCAGGGACATAACTCAGGTCATCTGGCTTGGCAGCAGCTGCCTTTACCTACTGTACCATCTCCACCGAGAGCAGTCAAGGATGTCCCCAAGTTATCAGTTTGAGCAACTGATTGCATAGTATTGTCTCTTGGCAGAAGTCTCCAAGTTAATCTTGTTAAATTTAAATTTTATTATGGGAAATTATGAACATATATGAAAGCAGAGAGTAATATAATGAATATTTATGTGCTTACTTCCATCCCTCATTAATATTGGGTAATTTTGGTCTGGTAAGATGGCTCAGTGGGGATGCAGAGGCTGTCAGATTTCTGAGTTTGAGGACAGCCTTGTGTAAGCAGTGAGTTCTAGTACAGCTAGAGGTACATGGTGACATACTGTCTCAGAAAAAAAGGGGATGGGGTTTAGAGGAGGTAGGCTAGAGAGATGGCATGGTGGTTAATTGTTCTTAATTGTTCGTGCAGACTGGTAAAACCACTTTCCAGCTATCTTAGCTCCAGCATTTGGTCCCAAGACAAACCAACAATGAGTCCAAAACATCATGAATACAGCCTGCACCCCATGTTGAACTCTTGAGATACAACCTAACTGCAACAGCCAACCCTGTCTGCAAAGAAGAACCACTAACTTGCCTAAAAAGACAACACCCCCTTCCTTTCTACTCCTCCTAGATTGGTAAAAGGTTCCTAGTCTGTAAGAGAGGCATGCTTGCTTAATGTGAGCTCTTCTCAGTTTCTCTGAAATAAACCTGCCTGCATTTGAGTCCAGTCTCCTGTCTTCTTCCACATTATTTCCTAACATGGGTCTCAATCCTGGGACAGTCACTCCGAGAAAATGTCCCTCTTGTAACCCACGCAGCATGTGCAGCAGCAGCTCAGCCTTGGATTCTGAGGGGTCACTGAGTTAGTCCCACACTGTCTCTGTCTCTGAACCTCATGGCCTTTCTCCCACTCACCCTTCCTCTGCTAGTTCTCTGGATTGAGGATTACAGATTGCCCTAGACCAAAGATCTGTTCATCCATGCTGATGGGTGGCATGGGCAAATCTCAAAATACTTGGGATTGTTTCTCCAGCTACCCCCAAGTTAATACACCAGGCCTTCCTCTTTACTCTCTCTTTCCCCAAACCTCTGTCCCCTCCACTCTTTCTCCCCGGAACTGGCCCCAGAAATCATGAAGGTCATTCTCTCCTTGGAGTCAGACATCCAACCCGAGGCTATCCTCTGACCTGTGAGGTGACAATTGTCTTTTGTTTGGATGAGTCTTTGGGACTCCTTCATCTTCTCTGTGCTCAACCCTTCTCTCAAGGAGAGGATCACCATCTCTGTTAGAGCTAGAGACCCCCACCCTCTAACAGACACCCTTACTTCTCACCCCTCCTGGCTTCTCAAAAACTCAGTTCTTTGGGCTTGGATGCAGCCACCTTAACCACTAAGCAGATTTCATTTCAGTGTGTTTGTCCATGTGAAAAATGAGGTGAGGTCCACAGAGACAGCAGCTCTTCAGCTCTGTGCCTCATGGAAGAAGAGGCTGTGTGGAAGGAAGACAGGGCTCTGCCTTGTGTTGGGACTGGGGAAGGAGACTTGGTTTCCATCCAGGGCTGGTCATGCAGGGTGCTGTTTGTTCTCGATCCAGAGGACAGCTAGAATTTCAATGGATTAATAGAGGGAGTCATTGTAGTTTTGAGGAGAGAGTTGAGATTTCCAGAGATCTACAAGGACCACACCAACTGGCAAACTAAGCAACAGTGGAGAGATTACCTTACTAGCTCCTCCCCGATAATGAGATTATATGCCATTTTAGAACCTTCATCCAGTGACTGATGGAAGCAGAGGCAGAGACCCACAGCTAAACACTGAACTGAACTCCTAGAACCCAGTGACAGAGAGGAAGGAGTGATGAGAAAAGGGGTCAAGACCATGCTGGTGAAACCCACAAAGACAGCTGACCTGATAAGGGGGAACTCTTGGACCCCAGACCAATGACTGAGAGGCTAGAATGGGACTGATCCAGACCCCCTGGATGTAGTGTCAGTGAGGAGACCTCGGCAATCTCTGGGACTTTGGGTAGTAGATCATTGTTTACCATAGTGTATGAATGAACTTTGTGAGCCCATTCCACATGGAGCCATGCTCTCTCAGCCCAGACACATGGGGAAGGACGTAGGTCCTGCCCTGGTGAAATGACAAACTCTGGAGATCCCCCAAAGAGGGCCTCACTCTCCCTGGGGAATGGTGTGGGGATTGGGTGGAGAATTGGGGGGGGGGGCTGGTGGAAGGGCAAGGGCGAAGGGGAGGGAGAAGGAGCTGGGATTGTTATGTGAATTTAAATTTTAAAAAGTGAAATTACGAGCCCCTCCAAGACCCCAACCCCAGCTAGTCCAGCTTCAGGTGAGATTGGGTCTCCGGTGGGGACCGCCCGCCCTTCCCCCATCCCCCTTGATCTTCGGGGCCGCCCGGCATCCAGAAGACCCGCCCACACAGGAAAGACATCAGCCCCTCCAAGACTCCAACCCCAGCTAATCCAGCTTCAGGTGAGATTGGGTCTCCGGTGGGGACCGCCCGCCCTTCCCCCATCCCCCTTGATCTTCGGGGCCGCCCGGCATCCAGAAGACCCGCCCACACAGGAAAGACATCAGCCCCTCCAAGACCCCAACCCCAGCTAGTCCAGCTTCAGGAAAGACATCAACCCCTCCAAGACCCCAACCCCAGCTAGTCCAGCTTCAGCTGCAGGAAGGAAGGAGACCAGTGGAGACGGAAAGACCCCACCAGCACCCACTGGAAGAAGAGATGGGAAGAAGACAGAATAAGAGATCACTCAGCAATAGAAACACCAACATGACCCCACCAGAATCCAGGGATCCAACACCAGCAAGACCCAAAAAGCACTATATAGACGAAGAAGAGGAGACAGACCTTAAAAATTATTTCATGAAGATGATGGAGACCCTCAAAGAAGAAACGAGGAAATCCCTTAAAGAAATAGAAGAAAAAACAAACAAAAAAATCCATGAAATGGGGGAAAAATTCAAGAAATAAACAAATCTCTCAAAGAATCTAAAGAGCACCAAGAAAGAACAACCAAAAAAATGAAGGAAACAACTCAAACAGTTGAAGGATTGAAAGCTGAAATAGAAACGATAAAGAAAACACAGAATGAAGGGATGCTAGAAATAGAAAAGCTGGGTAAACGATCAGGAACTACAGATGCAAGTATCACCAACAGAATACAAGAGATAGAAGAGAGAATCTCAGGTGTTGAAGACTCATTAGAGGATATAGAGTCGTCAACCAAAGAAAATCTCAAAACCAACAAATCCTTAACACAAAATATCCAGGAAATATGGGACACCGTGAAGAAGCCAAACCTGAGAATAATAGGTATAAAAGAAGGTGAAGAAATTCAACTTAAAGGTACAGAAAACATATTCAACAAAATCATAGAAGAAAACTTCCCTAACCTAAAGAAAGATATGCCTATGAAAGTACAAGAATCTTACAGAACACCAAATAGGCTCGACCAGAAAAAGAAGTCACCTCGCCATATAATAATCAAAACATCAAACCTACAGAGTAAAGAGAAAATATTAAGAGCAGCTAAAGAAAAAGGCCAAGTAACATACAAAGGCAGACCTATCCGAATTACACCTGACTTCTCAATGGAAATGATGAAAGCCAGAAGATCCTGGACAGATGTCCTACAAACGCTAAGGGAACAAGGATGCCCGCCCAGACTACTATATCCAGCAAAGCTCTCAATTACCATAGATGGAGAAAACAAAATATTCCATGACAAAGCCAGATTTAAACAATACGTATCCATGAATCCAGCTCTACAGAAAATGCTAGAAGGAAAACCTAGAGCCAAGGAAGATAACTACATCCACAAAGACACAGGCAATATATAATGACACTTTACAAAACACCAAAAGAAAAAGGGAGGAGAAACTACACAAAATAACTTCACTAACAATAAATCAAGCACAAGCAAGGATCACCAATCAATGGTCATCAATATCCCTCAATGTCAACGGCCTCAACTTGCCTATAAAAAGACACAGACTAGCAGAATGGATACAAAGACAGAACCCTTCCTTCTGCTGCATACAAGAAACATATCTCAACATCAAAGACAGATGTTATCTCAGAGTAAAGGGTTGGGAAAAGATCTTCCAATCAAATGGTCCCAAGAAACAAGTGGGTGTAGCAATCTTAATATCTAACAAATTAGACTTCAAATTAAAATCAATCAAAAGAGATGAAGAAGGACACTTCATATTCATCAAAGGAAAAATACATCAAGACGAAGTCTCAATTTTAAACATCTACGCCCCAAATACAAAGGCACCTACATTCGTGAAAGAAACATTACTAAAGCTCAAAATGCACATAAAATCTCACACACTAATAGTAGGAGACTTCAACACTCCGCTCTCACCGCTAGACAGGACCTCCAGACAGAAACTTAACAAAGAAACAAAAGAACTAATAGAAGTTATAACCCAACTGGGTTTAACAGACATCTATAGAACATTCCATCCAAATACAAAGGGATATACCTTCTTCTCGGCACCACATGGAACCTTCTCTAAAATTGACCACATAATAGGAAACATAGCAAATCTCCACAGATACAAAAAAATTGGAATAACCCCCTGCATCTTATCAGACCATCATGCATTAACATTAGAATTCAACAGTAACACAAATCGCAGAAACCCTACAAACTCATGGAGATTGAACAATGCACAATTGCACCATCCCTGGGTAAAGGAACAAATAAAAAAAGAAATTAAAGACTTCCTCGACTTCAATGAGAATGAAGACACAACATACACAAACTTATGGGACACTTTGAAAGCAGTGCTGAGAGGAAAGTTTATAGCACTAAGTGCCCACATGAAAAAACTGGAGAACAGTCATATTAGAGAATTAATAGCACAGCTGAATGTTCTAGAACAAAAAGAAGCAAACTCCCCCCAGGAGGAGCAGATGCCAGGAAATAATCAAATTGAGGGCTGAAATCAATCAAGTAGAAACCAGATAAACACTGAGAAGAATCAATGAAACAAAGAGTTGGTTCTTTGAGAAAATCAACGAAATAGATAAACCTCTGTCCAAACTAACCAAAAGACAGAGGGAGAGCATGCTAATTAACAAAATCAGGGATGAAAAAGGGGACATAACAACAGACTCAGAGGAAATCCAGAGAATCATCAGGGCATACTTTGAAAATCTGTACTCCACAAAATTTGAAATTTTAAAGGAAATGGACAATTTCCTGGATAGATATCACTTGTCAAAACTAAATCAAGAACAGATAAACAATCTAAACAGACCTATAACCCCTAATGAAATAGAAGCAGTCATCAAAAGTCTCCCAAATAAAAAAAGCCCAGGCCCAGATGGCTTCAGTGCAGAATTCTACCAGAAATTCAAAGAAGAGCTAATTCCAATACTCCTCAAAGTATTCCACACAATAGAAGCAGGAGGCTCACTGCCAAACTCTTTCTACGAGGCTACAATTACCTTGATACCCAAGCCACACAAAGACACAACTAAGAAAGAGAACTATAGACCAATTTCCCTCATGAACATTGATGCAAAAATACTCAATAAAATACTCGCAAACCGGATTCAAGAACACATCAGAAAAATCATCCACCATGATCAAGTAGGCTTCATCCCAGGAATGCAAGGATGGTTCAACATTAGAAAATCTATCAATGTAATCCACCATATTAACAATCTGCAAAAGAAAAAC